GGCACATTTTCTGAAAATAAGTACTGACCAGATTTACATAATCTGAGATCAGCTGGATTTTCACATTAAATTGACGTTCGCTCATATGAGACGCTTTGAATTACCAGTAACCCGAACTTTAGCTGACGCCTGTCCCCCTTAGGCAGCTCTACCGAAAATACAATACAATATTGAATGGTACTGTCAGCAGTTCTCGTGTGTTCAGCGCAAAAAAGTGTCTTGTTCACTTTATCACCAGTTTAAAATTAAAAAAGGGAGATATACGTCATATATATTGACAGAGATTTTTGAAACGACAATCATTGGTTAAACCTATCGACATCTCCAGATGTTTTCAGGCATATAGTAATAAAAAAGTGATAAACTATATACATAAGATTCGAAAGATAAACAAAAAACCATTAAGTGATTTTACTTATAAGATTATATTTGATACTGATATTTACGTTGATTCATATACAATAAATAAATAAACAAAGTACTAACGATCCGAACCGTAAGACGAAATCCAAAGCAATATATTGGCAAAATATTGGACGCAGCTAATGAAATTTTCACATTAAGTATGCCAATCTCAAGAAAGTAAATATTTCATAATCAATGGTATTATTAGATACTTTATTAAGCAAAGTACATACATACTATAGCCATTTAACAAACAATTTAACGAAAGAACAATATGACCCATGTAAATAAATCGGGTTAAAGTCAATAAATACCAAAAATAACAATATATACAATTTATCAATTATATAAATCAAAACATTTACATAGAATGATAAGAAATCCCAAAAGGTTGACAGCATTAGTGTGTTAATAGGTCTTCTCTGATTTTGATTGCTTCGAAAAGAAATTTACCCAAATTAAGTAGTTCATTATTATTTTTAGGAGATAATAATCTATTCATTTTAAAAATTGAAGGAAACGCCCAAAATCGACGATGAAATAAACGGCGGCGCAAGTCAATGTATAAAGGGCAACACAAAAGGAAATGATATTCGTCTTCGATATATTTGGATTTGCAACGTAAACAATATCTCTTATTACGCGGAATTTTGGTATTAGGTGTCCAAAAGAGTAAATATATCCAGCCTGGTGCCACACCTGTCTTTGCTGCTCAACATCAAACACAACATCAATTAAAATTACTTGACTGACAATAATTTTTAACCGAAAAAAAAATTAAATGAATGGAGTTTTACGTCATATTTAAACTTCAAGAGAGATAACTGATAAAAATAAATTTGTCCAATTTTAACAGTTAAAAGGGAGTGAACCGATCACAAATGATCAGAAACGGCAACGATGGGGAAATATTTTATTATGAAAAGTGGCAACAAATGTCTAGAAGAGTTTAGGATGAGATAAGTATCATCAATATCACAATCTAGCCCTCAATAATAGTCCGAAACGCGTAAGCAAAAACTAAAAAAGGGGATATCTAGTAGTTACATAGAGTTTATTCGTGAACAATAATTACTACAGAATTTGATTGTAGTCTGAATCCACATTTTGGTTATTATGCCCCTTTATATACCAAAAACCTAGTGAATCTAACGTGCAAGATGATGCTTGTTGCCACCAACTATGCTTTACTAAGATCATTGAGATCCATATGAAAGATCTCGCGCTTAACAGAAAAGGTATAAACTTGCCAATTTCGTTTAATTTTGGAAAATAATATTTTTTAACACCAAATCGTCTTAGTAACAAAAGACGATGGATTAATGGCAATGTCGTAAACCTTTGTTAGCAGTGCTGCAAAGTGCACGTCAAGATAAGACGTAAAAGATAAAGTAAAAGAAATATGGTGACCGGCCTCGGTTAACAGGTGAAAGTCTGAGGGGTCTTATCTAGCTATAAAACCATGGGCATAAATTTTAATGGTACTCCAGGTCATTGACACGTTTCTGTCCAGTACTTTCGCATTCATCTTGCAGAAAGGATCAAATACTAAAACAATTAAAAGCACAGAGTTCTAATGTATGTGATTCCTAAAATGAATATCATTTGATTGCAATTGTTGGTATCCTAAATTTGTTTTTCTTAAAACTGTTCAGCCAACCCTCGTATAAACCTAGTTCGGTTATATATTTTTCAAAAACAGTCTGTATTCTTTATATCAAACTACTCAATACGAGTACGATCCTTAATTGAATTTTATGATTATATATCTCTCTCGATTCATGAGTAGATTTCATAATTAGTAGGTATGTATTTTTTCTCTGTACAATTGCATCCTGTAAATATAATATATCGTCGTAAATATCATGTCGAATTGGATTTCAGGGAAGGGAGGGTTTGATTCTCCCAAATGTACAGGCCTAGGGTGGAGCAGACACTTTATTTAGAAATTAGGATTAAGGGTCTTGATATTGGGTTTTCTTCTGTTCTTATTCTGATCTGAAATTAGAAAAAATAACTCGCCCAATGGGCGAGAAGTATAGTATCTGTTATGTACTGATTGTTTTTAGTTTACTATGAACAATATTATCATTTAAGTTCTTATTTTTTGAATATGCAACTATCATTTTCTGCTTATAGACATGGGGGAATTTCTCTTGAAGGCTCTTATAGTGGGCATGAACTATCTTGCTTGCTCGATTGCTGGTTGTATTAAACGGGACAACAAAGGGTGCTATGCCTACATTATGATGAATATTTAGTCCTATAGGTCTTGCTGTATTCAATGTCTCAATCCAATGGGCCTCCCTAGATTGACGGAATTTGGTAGTTTCATCTTCGGGCAAGTCAATTTCTATACGCTCAATTGGGATTAGGGTGAGATCGTCTATTGAATGGTCGTCGAGGTTGAAATGATTAGAAACAGGCTTGTCTTTCTTTAATTTGATGTCTGACCTATGAGCATTAAAGCGAGTTCGTAAATTATTCTTAGTTTCTCCTACATATTGTTTGGGGCATTTCTTGCATGANATTAAATATATTACATTCGAATGTTCACATGTTAGATGTTCCTGGATCGGGTACCTTTTATTCGTAGAATTGCTTACAAAATAATGAGTTTCTGATATAAAGGGACATGTTTTGCATCTACTGGACAAACATGGAGCACTTCTTAAAACTGGAGGTACTTCGGCATAAAGTCTGTTTTGTTTCGTAAAAATCGTTTAGAGTACCCACACTCTTTCAGTTTTGAGAAAACAATCGTACAGGCTTGGTTGAAATCAGAAGATCTTGTACAAATTCGATGAAATCGTAAAACTTGTGACTTAATTATACCAGAAAAGGTATGTTTTGGGTGAAAGGAGCTCTTGTGCAAGAGTTGATGAGTATCAGTTTCTTTGAAATACACTTTAATATCCAGTTTATTTGTTTCTGCTATGGAATCTCCCTTAAAGACTGTGGTATCGAGAAAGTCTATGCTTTTGTCACTCACGTTTGCGGTTAGTTTGATAGAAGGATGGTGGTTGTTGAGAATTTCAAAGAATTCCCAAAACTGTTCGATAGAATAAGTCCAAACCATAAAAATGTCATCCAAAAAGCGTCCGTAAAAAAGTGGGTCAAGTGGACAGAGGGGCAACACCTCACGTTCCCACTCTGCCATGAAAAGGTTTGCGTACGAAGGGGCGAATCGTTTGCCCATTGCTGGCCCTGAAGTTTGTAAATATGTTTTACCATTAAATGTGAAATCGTTTCGACTAAGACAAATCTCTAAAAGCTGTAGAATTGCATCGTCGGGTCTGTTTGGATCTGGGTTTCTATTAAAAGCTTTACGAACTGCCGTTAAACCAGTAGTGTTATCGATATTGGTATACATAGAAGAAACGTCGATAGAAATTAAAATAGCATTAGAGGGAACTCGAAGATTTTTTATTTTATTGACAAAATCGGTTGTGTCTTTAAGGTAGGCGCGATGTTGGCATGCTAGAGGTAGTAAGAAATGATCAATGTATTCTGGCACTGCATATGACTCACTACCACAGTCGGATATAATCGGGCGGCCTTTAGGGATTTTATTCGAGATAAACCACTCCTTGTTTGGATTCTTATGGATTTTAGGCAAAGTGTACAAATGTCTCTCGCGACAATCAGGTTTGGCAGACAGATAGTCATATTGTTTCTGTTTGAGATAACTAGTTTTGACTAAATCGGCAAGAATATTATTAATCATGTTAGCAGTTTCTTTGAAAATTGGTTTCGGTAAAATGGCATAATGTTTAGGATTATTCAGTTGATTCTCTGCTTCTGAAACGTAATCCTCCCTATTCAGAATGACACAACATGAACCTTTGTCACTCTTTTTAATAACAATGCTATCGTCTTTCTTAAGTAAGTTTAACGCTTCACGCTCCACTCGTGTGAGATTAGGCTTTTCGTGTGTTATGGAAAGGTTCACTGTTTGGCAATTCATACTAGCAAATGCTTTCAATATTTCAGGATGGATGGCGGTCTGAGGGGGTGTCCACGTGGATTTAGGAATAAACATTGTTCTAGCACCACGTGGGGGGTGGTTTCGAAAAAAATATGTGCAGCTAAGATTTCGTTGAAATCGTTCAATGGATGGTCGGAGATAATTCAAGTTAGCTATCTTTGGTGTGGGAATAAACTTAAGTCCACGGTCTAAGATTGAATGCTGAAGGGGTGTGAGAATTTTGCGGCTCAAGTTAACTACAGTTTGGCCTAGCGGTGGCCTCTCAGTATTTTTATCCCCAGTAATTAGTTTAAAGACTTACTCGATGCTTGAAGCTGGTGTATCCAAAACAAATAAATGCTGTTTGCTGTTTCTGGAGACCAATGAAGATTATCAACTGTTTCGAATTCATCTTCGTAGGGTGGTAAGATTGTTGCGCTGTTGATACTGGACTCCATCATCATGTTATTGAAGGTGCTGAGGTTCTGTGCTTTCTTCGAGATTTTATTTGAAATGGGTATACATGTGAAGAGGATCTTGGAGTTTGGGAAGGTTTTGTTGGCTGTGGCGATTAATTTCTGGGCTTGGTTAAAGGAGGTCTTTGGTATCTGATCACGGTTGTTGAGGCCTACATGAAGAATAATGGTAGTAGGTTTGGGATCATGGTCGTATGATTCCAGGATTGACTGTATGTGATGGATTTGGGCACCGGGGTAAGAATGTATTTCGGTGTCCGAACTGGTTTGGTAATTCGATTCAGGTTAGATGATCCAATTATTAAGGTTGATTTCTTTAGAGCAGGTAGTTTCCATAATGATTTGTCCTTGGTTTGGTGATAATACGGTTTGGTAGCGGATATAATGGTCGTCGATGGTGTGATTGGTACTGGTTTGGTAGTTGTTAGAATTGTAGCATTGGGAACGGACTGGGATCTGGTTCGAGGAGGGGAAGGTCTGGATACATGTCTCGACTTGGATGGAGACTGAGGGGTGGTTTGCTGGTCCAAAAACGCACAGAAGGAAGAAAGGTTGGCGGATCCTGGATCACGTGGTGAAGATTCAGATGGTGTGGAAGGGGAAGACGAGTCTGAAAGTGAAAAGAGAAGGGGTGTGCCCTCTCTACGAGAGCGTTTACCTATGTCTGCTGGACTAGGAGTAGGTGAACTTCGGGCTCGTTTAGGGGTGTGGTTCGGCAGCGTGGTAGCTCTAGATGGTGCAGGTGTAGTGTCCATTTCAGTTGGTAGAGATATGGTTACTCTGGTTTTTGTTTCGTTGATTGTTTGGTAGAATTTGGAAATTACAGCTTGAGTGAGACGTTTCCCATAGGAGCGACGGGCCCAGGACAGGGCATGAGAAACGATGCGGTCGACGGCAGGTGATGATAAAGACTTGGTACGAATGGTGGTCAGCTTCTCTTGAAGTGTGGTTTGGTAATGGTCGATCAGGACCTGCGTAACCTTACAGAGCCATGTCCGATTGAGGGATCTAATATTCGCGTCGACGGCTGATGTTTTCATTGCTGGACGGATAAAACTATCCAACTCAGAGACTTTGCGTTTGAAGGTAAACGCTGGTTGGCCTTGCTGTTGAAGGGTAAGGATTGCCAAATGATGGAGGCACTGCAAAACTTGCAAGAACACCTTCACAAAGGGTTCTTCCTCCTTATGAGTGGGGACTGGTTGGCGTCGGTGGGCTGGTAGTCGTTTCTGTTGTTGGTCAGGTCGATGGTTACCTCTTGATTGGTAGGCTGTGTTGTAGGTAGGTCGGCGATATAGTGGGATATAGCTGGATGGGTTGGTTGGTGGTCGGCGATTGGTAGGTGGTAGAGGTCGATGGAAGACAGGGCCGTTGTAGGGTACGTGATGTTGGTTTGGTTGACGATTAGTGTTTCTATTTCTGGCTTCTTGCCAGTGGTTGTTGTAGTTGGGGAGCATAATGAAAATAACTTGGGGTTAGAAGGGAATCCACAGCGGATGTA